CTGATGACGCTCTCTTTGTTGATGGCGACTCGTATGCTGCTGGTCGCGTGGAACAAGGTGCTGACGGTGCTCCTCGGGAAGCACGTGGCGTTCTTCCAACTCCTCGGGACGACCGCCCAGGTTCTGGTGATGACCCTCGTGGGCTACGGGAGGCTCTGCACGGCCCTCAAGCGGATCCCTCCGGTGCCGGCCAAGATCCTCAAGGCTCAGTGGTTCCGATTGCTGCCCTTCATGGACATCTGGCTCTTCAACACGTTCCTCGTGATCTTGAGCGAGCCCCAGGCCTGCCAGCCGAGATTGAAGCTCGGCTTGCGTCCCTTCGGAACGAGTGCGACGACGCAATACAGAGCCTGTCTCAAGCTATCGTTCCCTGTGTTCGCGAGTTCATTGGGACTTGGGCCATAATATCGCAGAGGCTCTACGCTCACATCTTGAACCGCTGGTGACCACCCTCAACGCTCACGCCGAGACTAAGTTTCGTTGGCTGCTGGCGCTGCGAAGTCGCTGCCGAACACCATTGAGGCGCTGCGCCGACTCGCACCCCATCTGATGCTCTCGATTTCTTGTGGCTGAAGGTCCTGGAGGTCGGGCCGCGGATTGCAACGAGACCTGCATGCAAATGCTATCCAGCCTGCCGCTTTGGCGCCGCTCGCAGTCTTTCCCACCTGAGCGAGATCTCCGAGGATGCTGCCGCCTGCGAGCACGGGCGCCTATCTCAGCTCCTTCCACAATACGTTTCTGCACAGCCGCTGGCGACAGCTCTTTGGCTTGAGCGAGCTGCTGGTCGCAGCGCTCCTGAGATTTATGGCCTGTCGCTCAACCGTCGAGGCCATCGCATGCAGGTGGTGGACACCATGGTCTTCAGCCTCGCCTGCATGGGGACGATGGGCCTGCTGGACGTCTGGGCTCTTCTACCGGCGATGGTGCTGCTGAGGGTCCTGCCGCTGCTGATCACGCTCTCCCTGAGCTTCCTCCGCCACCCGACGATGCTGCTGGCGTGCTCTCTTCTCTTCGGCCTCCTGCAGGCCTTCTGCCTCATGGATGTGGCACTGCTGCGGGTCCTGCCGCTGCTGGCCACGTGCTCCCTGAGCATCCCCTTCCACTTGACGATGCTGCTGGCGTGCCCGGGGTATTACAACCCTCTGCTGAGCTTCAGCCCCGCGTCGACGGAGCTGCTGCAGATCCTGCCGCTGCTGATCCTGCGCGGCATGCCCGCGAGCCTCCTGCGGGACATCCTTCTCCAACTGACGGCGCTGGGCTGCCTCCCCCTGAAGGCGCTGCGCAGCTACTTCCTGAGCTAGGGCCTCATGGCGCAGATGACGACGACCAAGGGTGCGAGTTGGGTCCCTTAGCTGCTTGCACAGGGATAATGGGGGTTGGGGCGCGTTGATCAGGTGGTGCCAGGGGCGCCTCACTTTCGTTGCTGGGATTTACTACCGCTTCGATGTTGCTGCACGTCGCTTTTCGTACATGTCGACCTCCTGTATATGTTCGACTGCTCCACCTCCATCGGCGACCCGTTCGCCGCCGCGGCGGGGGCTCCCCCTGCCATCTTCTCTGCTGCTCCTTCGGGCGCAGAGATTGACACAGACTCTCCGAACTCCGTATTCGATGAGGCGTCCCACGACGTTGTCTCGTTTGTGCCCGCCGACTCCAGCTCCGACTTCGCCAGCGACGCCGTGCCCCTGAATTCCTCGGAGGGCGCGCGGTGGCCCGCACAGGCGCGGAAGGAGGACTCTGGCCCCCAGTGACGCTCGCTCCTCCTCCTCCTCCTCTGCTCCTCCTCTCCTCCCCTGCTCCTCTGCTCCTCCTCCTCCTCCTCCTCCTCCTCCTCCTCCTCCTCCTCCCTTTTCTCCCCTCTTCGTCGGCGTATATGCCTCCCTTGTCCCCCTTCTCCTCCATCTCCTTTTCTTATAACTAACTCATTCGTGCCGCATCTTACGTAGACGTGTGGGTGGGGCGGGCCGGGTGTTTCGCCTTGGCTTCCTCACCACTCCTGATCTTGAGGCTTGAAGAGAATGAGCAACGTTTTCAAGGATGGATGACTTGGGTTCTGTGAAATATGGCTCTTGTTCTAGCGCCGCGCACATTCGTCTTGAACGTTTGCAGCAGTTTCAAGAGTGGAGGACGGGCCGTTTTCAAAGTGTGGCTCTCGCCGCAGTGTCTTGCACATTCGTTTTGAAAGGTTGCACTTTCAGAGGTTCGTATGGTTGAAGGAAGCACCAGTGATAGTGTTCTGGCACTGCTTAGGATTGTCCATGCGCAGTGGCCACGTTGATTCGCGGTGTTGAAATCCCAGGATTTGTGTCCCGCCACGATTCAGGGTTGTCAGCAACTGTCATGTTGACTTGCGGCGCTGAAGTCCAAGGGGTGGTGTTTGGCCCGATCGGGGATTATTAGACGGTTGTCTTCCAAGGGGCCACTTCCGCAATGAACAGTTGTTGTAGCGACCTGTGAAGAGGGAACTTGGAGGGATGGTTTATTGTAACATCGTTGGTGCGTCTATGGTTTGCACAGGTCCTCATCCTCATCCTCATCCTCATCCTCATGCTTGCCTTTATCCTCATCCTCCTCATCCTTCTCCTGCTGCTCCTTCCCTCTCCCGTTCTTCTCCCCCTGCTTCTCCTCCTCGCCTTCCTCCCCGCTCTC